AGATATATAATGTGCTTCGAACTATGGGTAAAAGGAAAGTGCCAGGGCCGGACGGACTATCGGTCCTTTTCTTCTCAAAATTCTCGCATATTGTTGGTGATGACGTTACTGAGTTAATAACGACAGTGTTTGAGACGGGGGTAATGCCAGAGTCCATGAATCATACTTTGATTGCGTTAATCCCTAAGATGAAGGATCCGAATATGCCAAAAGAGTTCCGCCAATTGCTCTATGCAATGTTCTGTATAAGTTACTTGCTAAGGTGCTGGCGAACAGGCTCAAAACCTTACTCGACAAGATTATTTCGCCGGAACAGTCAGCTTTCGTGCCCGGGAGATTCATTGCGGATAACGTTATGGCCGCTTTTGAGTGCTTTCATACCATGAAAAAGAAAACGAAGAATAAAACGGGTTTTTTTGCGGCAAAGACGGACATGGCCAAAGCATACGATAGGGTGGAGTGGTGGTTTCTGGAAGGGATTATGCAGAGATTGGGTTTTTCGGAGAACTGGATACACCTTATAATGATGTGTGTTACGTCTGTTACGTACTCCATCTTGGTGAATGGACATCGATCTCAACAGCTGCGTTCGACGAGAGGGCTCCGACAAGGAGATCCACTCTCTCCGTACTTATTTTTGCTGGTGGCGGAAGGGCTGTCATGTTATACTGCTAAGGCAGTGCGCGAGAAACGGATCCATGGGTTGTCAGTCGCGCGAGGAGCTCCGGTGATCTCGCACTTATTTTTTGCTGATGATTCTATTTTCTTTGCTAGGGCCACGGTTCAAGAGAGTAAGGAGCTGAAGAGAATCTTGGGGGACTATCAATTGGAGTCCGGCCAACTTGTGAGTTTTGAGAAATCTGAAGTCAGTTTTGGGGAGAACGTGAAGCCTCATCAGAAGTTGTTGGTCAGTTCAACTCTGGGGATGCAAGCTGTTGATAAACATGACAAGTACCTGGGATTAGTGACATAGGTGGGAAGATCAAAGAACGCTCTCTTTGCATACCTGAAGGAACGAGTGAGGAAAAAATTATCGGGATGGAAAGAAAGAACGATGTCAGCAACAGCAAGGGAGGTATTAATTAAATCAGTAGCGCAGGCTCAATTAACGTATACGATGGCTGTTTTTAAAGTCCCGGACGGGATCATTGACGAAATACATAGTATGATCATGCGGTTTTGGTGGGGGCAGCAAGGAGAGGAACGCAGAATCCCTTGGATTGCAAGGGCATCTTTAGTCAGACCGAAGTCAGAAGGGGGTATGGGCTTCCGTGATTTGCGAGGTTTCAACCTGTCCCTCCTAGCATGACAGCTGTGGGGACTATATCAACGACCGGACTCGCTCATAGCGAGGATGCTGAAAGCAAAGTATCATAAGAATGATAGTATTTTGGATGCAAGTGTTGGATATCGGCCTAGTTATGTATGGAGGAGTTTGATGGGGGCACAAGATTTTTTGGTGAGTGGACTAAGATGGACGATCGGCAATGGAGCATCTGTGAAAATATGGGGGGATCGATGGGTGCCAACTGTACCAGGGCACTTTGTGCAATCGCCGCCGATGGGTTTGCCGGTTGATGCGCCTGTTAGAGAATTGGTTGATGAGGAGTTAAATCAATGGGATGAGACGCTTCTTGAAAGTTGTTTCACAACAACGATGGCAATGGCCATTCGTCAAATCCCATTACGTGACCCCTCAGTTCCGGACAGGCTGATTTGGGCGGATAGTAGAGACGGAAACTACTCAGCAAGAGACGGGTACCGAAAGTGGTTGAAAGATGGTGGAGAAGATAACGGGGACCAGGGGACGAGTGACTCTTCCTTGTGGAAAGGTATTTGGTCTCTAAATATTCCTCCTAAAATTCGGGTGTTTCTCTGGAGGTTCGCTAGAGAATCTTTGGCCATAGGGGATCGAGTGAGTAGACGTAATCCGCGAAGAGGGGATGAAAGCCCTGACTCGCTACGACACAACACCTAACAATGGCCAAGTGTAACCAATGGAAGGGACTGCAGTATAGTGGCTCAAGTGATAAATATCGAATCCACGGGTCTCTAGAGTTACTATTACTCAGCTTCAGTTTATTATTTAGCAAATCAGATTAAGATGAAAGAGCTAAAACTACTCTAGCAAACTACAGTTAAAGTTAATCTAATTACAGGTTGGGAACTCACTACTCTAGCAAACTACAGTTAAAGTTAATCTAATTACAGGTTGGGAACTCACTTAGGTATGATTCCCCCTAGCCACTAGCCAGATTAACGATTGATGATCTCTAACCTGTTTCACTTTCATTCATAATGCGGAGAATCCTTGACTAGACCTTGAGTCTCGACTAAAGGAACAAGGCCCTCTTGAGTCAATTGCCTAGAGGGACGTATCCTTCTCTAGAACAACTGATCAAGGCGTTCTGAACTAGACTCCCTCTATCAAAAGAGGTTCTCAATCGATACAAAGCAGTGAATCAACCCTCGACTAAAGCAATCGATCCACTACTATCAATCTATGGTGCTCTATTGACCTAATCAGGTATTCCCTCTCATAGAATCAAAGCAGAATCAATAATCTCGACTAAAGCAGAATTGAATCATGAAAACATGCATAGATTGAATATGAACTCAAGATTATCAAGTCAGAGTACTCATACAATCATCCAATCAAACAAACATAGCTAGGGTTCCTCAAAACCTAAGTGAAGGGAAGTTACTCCATAGAGAAGAGAGAGACTGCAGTAAGAATCTTCAGATGATCAGTCTTCAAGTCCGGGCTTGTTCCTCGAGCTTCCAAGGCGAAGAAATCCTCCTTCTCTACTCCAAGAATGCCCTCAAATCGCCCTCTCTCTCTAGGGTTCGTCCCTTGGGTGTTTGGGTTCCAAAAACCCAGCTCTCCTCTTCTTTGGCTCGGAATTTGGCTTAAAACCAGGAAATCCCGACTCGCACGGCCAGGGTGCACGGCCGTGCATATCACCATTCTGGCCGTGCAACTCAAAACGCAGCGTGTCATTTAGTCGAACTTCAGCCCTCTCGCACGGCCAGGGTGCACGGCCGTGCGAGCTTCAGGGGTTGCCCGTGCGTGTCCTCGGCATAAGACGCACGGCCATATTGCTCACGTGCACGGCCGTGCAGCCTCCCTGGTCTGCCCGTGCAGCTCCCCAAAAACCTCGCCATTCGTCCGTTCTTCGTCCAATCGACCCCAGACTCGCTCCTAAGCCTTCATTCACGTACTAGGACCTGAAACATCACAAACAAGCACAACCTAGCGTGAAATCGGTCTAAACCACGAGAAATCACATCTCAAACGGTGTAAGAACAGGGGTAAAAACATGTGTAATTAACGGTCTATCAAGCCCGTTCTGTAATATGAAGGAATCGCAAGTGCACCTGTTCAGCGAGTGTACTTGGGCCTCAAGGCTATGGCGGAATTCCCAGGTGGTGCAGTGCTTTGATTTGCGAGGAGATGGAAATTGCAAGGAGTGGGTGGCAAAGGTAATAGCTTCTATGCCCAAGGAGAAGACGGAAGATTGGAGTGTGCTTCTATGGTCATTATGGAAGGAGCATAATGCTCACCTTTTCAATGGCAAGAGGACAGAAGAAAGTGACATAGTCCCACGAGCAATAGCTTACCTTGATGAATATCGACATTTCCAAGGCCACGACCAGCTGGTTCCTGCTGCAGGAGTTACAGAAACGTGGCAGAAGCCTCCGGGGGGTATGATCAAGGTTAATACAGATGCTGGTTTCAGTGAGGAGAGTACTGGATTGGGAGTGGTCATTAGAGACCATGATGGAAGATTTATTATGGCAGCTGCAAAGAAGATACGTGGGAAGTATGATCAACCGCTCGGCGAAGCACTAGCTATGGAGTTTGGACTGCAGCTCGTCCGGCGACATCAGCTCGGAAGGCCTATGGTGGAATCAGACTGCTTAACGGTAGTCAACGAGATCAGGGAAGCTCGGGTGAACTATACGGAGCTGGGCACTATCGTGTTGAATATTAGGAAGTTGCTTCAAGAAGAATAGGCGCGCAGCGTCAAACAAATCAGAAGAAATGCGAATAAGGTATCACATATAATGGCGCACATGGAAACTCGATGGGATGAGGCTGAGGTCTAGTTTGATAGACCGCCGATTAGTATTCTGGATCAGTTAATTCTAGATAATGGTAGTTTGATTTCTACTTAATAAAGCTGAGTGCAGATTTCCATAAAAAAAATAGTTTTTTTTTTTTACTTTCTTTTTCTTCTCTTTAGGTTTAATGTTCTTATGTCTCTTCGTATTATACCTTAGGTCACACAATTCGCGTGATAAGGGACGACGCTCCCGCTCGAGCTCGTAAAACGCGAATTGGGAAATTCATATAAAATTCACAAAATTATTAATTGTGGGAGCATGAAATCCGTAAACTAATTCACCAAATTATTTCACAGTGTTGGGGTGAGCGCTACTTGCGCGACACAGAGCCCAATCGCGCGGAATATCAAGGCGACAGCGCCCCATGTCCGAGGTACAATTAGAAGGACGCCGCAGAAGAAGTGCCTCGGGAACCGACGAGACAACTCTGACCCAAGTGTCTTGTCGAATTAAATGCTCACCTACCAAAATGGAGCTATAAATAGGGCATTTACTCCACCAAGAAGGGAGATCGACTTCTCTCTCTCCACATTGACTCCTAGTCTTTACTCCGAATATTCTCTCTGAAATATTCTCTCTGAAACCTCTTTCTGGATATTGGTTTTGACAATTCAGGTTGTAAAGGACCCGACATCTATTTCGAAATTCTTCCCCCTTGTCCATATCTCGTGTAATCCTCCTACTCTCGGTCTTACACAAACAATTGGCGCCCACCGTGGGGCTGAAGAATGTCGAAGAATTTGATGTCAAAGCCACAGCCAGCGCATTAAAATCCTACTGCCTAGGAAACAACACCACTCAAAAGAACCACCAGCCAAAGACTCTTCGACCCATCAATCAATCCTTAAGTGGCCCCGTTATTCCACACCACACTAGACACGAGCCGGATTTTAATCAAGTAAGAGGAGTCGGAGATGTCGGCCAAAGAAGTGCGGCAGCAAATGGAGTACAAAATAAGGTCATTCTAGGTATGCAAAACAAGATGAGTCAAATGATTGAACTCATGCGCGCTGGCAGCGCCCCAAAAAGTACGAAAACCAAATCCGGCGGACCAACTACTCCTAGGGAAACCGCGGCACCCACTACTACCACCCCAGAGATCCCCGTCGCGCTGGAAAATGCGCAGTCCCCACAACCAGTACGACCTCAGTTTCCTGGAACAACATTTATCGTCGGCTTACCGGGCACATCCCAAACCGGTGCTTCACCCGCCTCTACGTTCGGAAATCATGGGGGAGCAAATGCCGGGGAACCCACCCATTCTACCAACTTTCAACGGTACGACCGATCCGGAGGATCACGTCAGGGCGTTCTGCCTGAGGATGCAACTCCAGAATTTTTCTGATGTCGCACTGTGTCGAACATTCCCTTCAACGTTTGCAGGGATATGCCTTGACTGGTATAATCAACTCCCAAACGGTATCATCCGCACCTTCGAGGAGTTCATTTGGTTGTTCACATCTAAGTTCGCTTCGCAAAAGTGCAGGCCGCTACACACGGTAGCGCTAGTAGAGGTCAAACAAGAGGATGGAGAAAGCCTTAGGACTTTCTATTCCAGATGGTCAAGGGTAGCCATGGCGGTTCGAGATCTCACAACCGAAATAGCAACGCACATCCTCATGGAATCCACCAGCAACACTGAATTGAGGCGATTACTAGCGAAATGCCTGGTCTTTTCCTCACCAGAGCTTGAGGCAAAATTCGAGAAGGCAATAACTTTAGAGGAAATGTTGGTCGCGGGATCCGTACGCCGCTTCGAACCTAAAGGAGGAAGGAATGACCAACCACACCAACAACCATAGATCCCTCCCCTCCCCATAGCCAGTTATCATAGTGGAGCGAACACACCCCCTCGCAACAGTACGAGCGGTTAAGGAGACACTCGCCCGAGCGGAACAGGGTTGAGCAAAACCAGATAGTCTTGAACGAAACCATGTCCAACATCTTCAGCGTTATTCGTGAGAAGGGATACAACATTAAATGGTCAGGACCACAATGCCATCTAGAAAACAGGCACAATCATTGCAAGTTCTGCGAATTCCACCTCGAAATGGGCCACCACACAGAGCATTGCTATATGCTCCGAGAGGAGATCGAGAGACTCGTTAGGAAGGGCCTCCTGACTGAGTTTGGGTGCACGAAAGGAAAAATACCTGCTCAAAAGCCTCCTCCTCCACCGCCAACAAGATACAATGAAGCGACGGGCGAGATGATTGTGTGGAAGGAAATCATAATAGTGGCAACAGAGGGAGTAAGGCCCAACAAAAAATCGAAAAGGAAAAGATCGATGGAATATGCAACGGCCAACACTAGTCTAGGAAACTCATCTACTTCGGCGATGACGAGATTCTAGATGTGATACCCTTAGAGGATCCCTTGCTCATCACCGCTCTTGTGGCCGCTTGTAAGGTACATCATATTTATCAATACCGCGGGCTATGTCTTCCAGGTCTTATTACGAGTGCGAATGCGACTCTTTATCTATATTGCAGACTATGTCTGTCGGGTCTTATTACGAGTGTGATTGTGCATCTTTATTAAATACCACGGATCATCCTAAGAACCGCACAAGGAGTTTGCGAGATACAATAGAATATAGAAGGGAAACTTTGTCACTAAATCCAAAAGAGCTATTAGGAAAATCGCACAAGGAGTTGGCAAAATCAACTGTCTTAACAAACAACACTGGAAAATTCAAACAATAACAACTTCCGCAGCAACACCACTGTTGCCCCCAGCAGCACCCTCCTCTTCAGATTTGCTGTCAGAGTCCTCAGTAAGCGGGCGCTTGTCAGAAAAGAAACGTTGAACGCGCCTTATCATATCGCGGGTGTTCCAACGACATCTAGCGTTGTCCGGGGGTACCTTCTTCCAAACCACCATGATGGTGCGACGCATAAAATCAGACATATGCCTCACAAAAGTATTTGATTGTTTGTACACCACTATCGCCTCCTTTGCGATATCAACCTTCTCTTCAGCCTCGCTCTTCTTCTCCAAATCTTCCAACTTCCTCGTTATCTCGACCTTATCCGCATCAGCATCCAATCGGACAGTGTACGTCCAGTTGATCAATGAAGCTCCGCCTCTTCTCCTCAAACTCCTTATCCATCTCTGATCTGATGGCATCCCGCTCTTCTAACCGCCCCTTCTCCCTCGCGACAGACAACTCGTCATTCAGTTGATGAGTCAACTCATCGACACAGGCCAAGGCTTCGTCACAGTTTTATGAGCAGAGGATACACTCCTCTCGGCTTCTGCGGCCCGACTCTACAACTGCAGGACTCTCGCTTGTTTCGACCCAAGCGGTGCCATCACAGTAGCCCTTTCCTGCTGAGCGCGGTAACAAGCTAGCATTGCCTACAAGGGAAAAAAACGCACGATGTTGAAGAACCCGCGAATACACTTGCAAAAAAAGAGAAAGAGTTGAGGCTGAAAACAAAACGTGGAATTGCGCATGCTCCATATCCATGAACGGATCACTATTCTCCATCCGGGTGGGCAGAGTTAGTGCTGAGCCTAAGGCCTTCAAGGCGAGTTGGGCAGTAGGGAGCATTTGCGTGGCAGCAACTGGCAGCCGCACTTCACTGTACTGGTTGGCAGCGAGATCCTGGAAGACCGTCATGTCAGGTAGAGTCTGCTACGCCAACAGGACCGGCGAAGCGGACCGCGAACTTGAACTTCCGCTCCCAACTTTGTCGACTCGAGGGAGCTCTAATCACGGGGGCTTCTTTCTCAGTGCATCCATGCGCGGCTCGATCCGCACTACCTTGGCTGGCTTGGGTTTGGCCTCGGTTCCGGCATTCTTCCTCTTACCCCCACCAGTGCCTCGCGCCGGAGCAGGAAGATCATCAACACTCATCATCGACGCCACAGTGTTGTAGTCCCCTCCTGCAACAAAGGGGCATAAGAATCCGATTAATACAACAAGAAACAAGTCAAAAGGCAGAAAAACACTAACCGCCAACAAAAAGCTTGCAAAGGACGGCTTCGCGAGACCCCTTCAGATACAAATTGACTCGCTCTGTCAACAACAAGTCGTAATGCTGCTTGAGGTGCTTGTAAGTCCCCAAGGTAGACTCATAATCCTTAATATTCCCATTCGACCAGGAAGACGGGAATTCGACCGCAGAGAAGTAAACTCCCCAGGTACAGCCCGCACGTAGAAGAACTTCTCAAACCAATTCTTCTCTAGTTTCGGTGACCCGTAGACATAACCCGAGGGATTGTTGTCTCTAATTTTAATTGACAAACTGTTACCCCTTTTCAGACCAGTCAAGTGCGGCACCTTCAACTTGTAGATATGGCGAAAAAAGCCATAGTTGGGATGTAGGTTCTGCCTCTTACACATCGCCCGCAGAGCTCAGTTGTGAAAGATAACAGAGGGAGAAAAGCGTGCCAATGAGCACTTTACCAACCCGTAGAGACGACAGAGCAAAGGTTTGATGGGAAACTTAAAGAAAATCTTCCAGTACTCAATGTAAACGCCGAACCAACCCGGAGGTCAATTCCCAACTCGGTTGAACTCCTAAGAAGCGGCTTATTGCCAATGTGGCGCTAGACCAAGACCGCGCGCACAACATAGAACATCCGCGCGCTTCAACAACGATGCATAATCGGGGCCGCGCAACAGCTTGTTTGACGGAATCTCCCCGGCAGGAAACATTTCCTCCCAGTCAAGTACCACATATTCCACATAAGGAGATCTCGCACCCAACCTGGCATACGCCTCGACAACGTGGAATGATCGAAATTTTTGCTGGAATGGTCGACCAATCTGCTTATGAGTCCCTAGAGACGATCATTCGTAATTTTTCATCAAGATAGGCATGTTGGTGTAACCGGTCGACCGAAAACTTCTTTTGGTCGGTCGTTTTATTCGAGGCATAATGACTTGCAAGTCAACGTAGACATACCCTTATTATTATATCAATTAAATTAGGAAACAAACAAAACCTTATGTGAATTATAAATGGACGTATGCATATGCTAAAGTTCACACAAACTATAGCATGTGAACCAAGATTTGTGAAAGATCCCATTCACATTATTCATAACAATACAAAGTAGCTTGTTTGGCCGTATGTATGAAACGTTATATTTAGTTATATGTATAACAAAATAAAAACAACAAAATTAATCTGCTGATTGATTGATTGATTAATTTTATATAAATACGAGATGATACCTCGTCTCAAGAAGATCCATCCATCAAACAAATTAACAACCCAACAAAGTATAAGAGAGAAAAGAAGATCGAGAGAGGTTATCTTTTTTAACGTTGGTTGGTCGTTTCATTAATCGAAACACGGTGAACAGAGTTACAAATAATACTGAAAGGAAGGAAAAGAGCTAAAAGAACAAGAGTAAACCAAAAAGTGTACATCCACAAGCCCAAACCTCTGAGCAAAACGGCTAAGATCTACCTTCAAAAATGGTATACATGATCACAATCTCCCTGAAATCTCATCCGAGACAGCAATAACGTTCCATACATCTCCGAATCATCTCCATATATGGATGAAGCATGTGGAGGTAGATGTCGGAACATAGAGGCGATCAATGGGTGACATTTCTTCATGAACGTAGGTACTAGTTAGCAGTACCTCTCCCCACTTTTATTATATTGCATTTCTGTCAAGTCGATCATAATTTTTTTTTATCACAAGCGCTTATGAATTTTCGTTAATCATCATCCCTGTGTTTGGCCCGGCTTTTAGAAGTGCTTTTCGGGTTCAAAAGCTGAAGCAGAGCCAAACACCTATAAAAGCTCGGCTTCCGAAAAGCGCTTTTGTATAACATAAAAGCAGAAGCTCCGATTTGGAGCTTCTGCGAAAAGCTGTTTTGAAAATACAAGATTATCCTTACCATATTTTAATTTTATTTCAGAACATATAATTTTCCTTCATTTATCTCATTTTAAAAATAAAATAAATTATAAAATCATTTTATTTAATATAAAAGAAATCTAACAAGATCCATCTTGACTACTTTTTATTGTTTAGAATTTTTATTCATATTTTATATTATAAGTCCTTTATAGTCATTTTACACAACCTCTTATATTAAAAAGCACTTCTAATAGTTTTATAGTCAAACACTCAACTGCTTTTTTTTTAAATACTTATCTAAAAACTCCAGCTAGAAGCTGCTTCTACAAAAGCTACAGCAGGGCCAAACTAAGCTATCAATTTTGGTTTATGGGTCTTGTGAACAGAATATATAGAAAAATAAGGGACAAATTACAGAACAAAGACAAGAATAAATTAACGAAAGCGCCAATTTCATGTCACTACATAATTAGTACTTAGCTACTACTAGCTAGCTGGCCATGTAATGTTGGTTGGTTGACTAATTTTTATAATCATGTTTTTATTACATGAAGGACAAATTTAGTGAGTCAGTGAATTTAATAGAATAATTGAAAACACGTATCTAATTAGAAAAAAAGGAAAGGAATGAATTGAGGGAAACGACATTGATGTAATTGTTTTTTTTTTATATCATTGATGCCGTTGTTTAACTGATTTCATATTTAGATCAGTGTTTGTGAAATCTTTACGTAGCAACGGTTTAATTGCTAAATTTTTTTATCAGAGTCTAAATTACTAAGTGATTTTTAGGGCCCGTTTAGTATCATTTTGTTGCTGTTGTGGTTGCAGTGGTGTTGTTTAAACAGATGTACAACCACAACAGGAAAAGAACAGAAAACACAAACCTGTTTAGTTGATAAATCTGAAAAATCATGAAAGCTGAAAACAAGAAACAAAAACGCGTTTAGTTAAGTGAGGCTTCTATGGAAGGGAATCGGAGTGGCGGCGGCGGCAGGGTCGGTCGGCGGAGGCTATGGAGTCGGAGCGAGGGGAGTCGGAGCGAGGCTTCTATGGAGGGGAGTCGGAGTGGCGGGCGGTGGCAGGGTCGGGCGAGGCTGTTGAGCAGGGGAGGCCCCGACGGCGGCTGTGGAGCAGGGGAGGAGAGGTCGCGGCGGCGGGTCTGAGGGCGGAGGCGGCCGGTCGAGAGGCGCGGAGGCGGAGGGTCGGGAGGGCGGAGGTGGCCGGTGTGGAGTGGGGAGAAGGCGCCGGCGTGTATGGCTGGAGGGGAGAGCGGCGCCTGTGTTTGAGACAAAATGGAGAGGTTGGGGGCGGCTAAAGTAAGTAGGGTTTGGGGGTGGTGTTAAAAAAATAAAATAAAAATTTGCTTCTGTGGGGATTCGAAAACTGGTATGTTTTAATGAAATCAAGCGACCAACCAATAGGAATCCCGTGTGCAACATGTTTAAGAATCAGATCCAAAGCTATAATTTGTTGTTTCTCATATTTGGGCCTTGTTGTGCAACTCTGATTCACAACAAAAAATAAAAACCCAGCTAAACACGATTTTTTTTCTTGGTTTTCCAAATTTCTTAAAACACAACAGGAAACAAAAACAAGCAACAATACTAAACGGGCCCAGCGTATGGGTTGAACGATACTGTTTCAGCACAAAATGTTCTATAATAGTTTTTTTGATACAATCTTCGGTACAGTTTTACAATTCTTGATGCAAGAGTTGTAAGTATTAGTTTAGTAAAGGATTTGGAAAAAGACATTGATGCATAGGCCAACCCCTTAAGTTTCTGGCGATTGAGAGATGAACTCCTCGATAGCTTTAAGGCTACACAGAATGACATGTCCTTGACCCTTCGACGGAGGTCTCGCTTGGAGGTGTTGATTTGTAGGGCATTTATCATGATTCTAAAAAGCGCACCTAGACACTCTTCTAAGCTTGCCTATGCGCTAGGCAGAAAGAAAACATCTCGCCTTAGCCATAATTATGAAGAAGAAGGAGTCTCGAGCACGTTGTCGGTCAGGTGCAGCCTAGTCAACACTAAGTTGTGTCTTAAAACGATATCACGATGTCTCTTTAGAGTAACTTCTTTCTTTTTTGCACTTCTTCTCTCAATATGTTCAGTTATTTTGTTGTTTCTTCTTTCTTTCTCATTCCTTCACACTATGTTTTATATTTTACTATGTGTCGTTGATGAGGTTAAGATATTTTCCTGCATTTACATCAAATGCTTAGACACACTTAGGTGATGCCTAGTCATTCTAAGCTCTAGGTAGAGCTTCAACGCCGCCCAACTAATTTTTCTAAGGGGTCTCATATATATAAAAGCTAATTAACTTAAATAATTTAATAATTAATTAATTATTAATAACAAAATTTATCCGGCCAATTGCCGGGCACAAAGCTAGTTTAATTAGAAAAGAGGTCGGTAGTGGTATAAAATCAGTAAATTACGTGGGTAATTAAGGAAATTTGTGGAATGAAGGTTTTAATTAAATAAAACAAATTAGATTGGTGGCGAGATGTTAGTTAGGAAGTTTGTGGAATCAACGTAAAAATCAATCTGACTTTTAAAAACTCTTTAATTGTTACAAAAAAAAACTCTCTTCAATATGCATAATTACCAAAAAAAACATTTACTTAACTAACAACATAAAAAAATGTATATTTTGTCGATGTGAACGATTGTTGTTAGTGGAGACAGAAACTATTTTGCTTCTAAAACAATGTCGTAGTAGGATTAGATGGATCAAGGCTGAATGTAACTATTTAGTGAGAATGAGAGTTTAGGGTTTGGGAGGGGTAGATGGTGTAAGAGGGAGAAGAGATGCGTGTTTTGTTACTCATCGTTATCCAATTGAGTCGAGTGGATTCTTCATTTTGTTATCTGTCATCTTGTGTTAGATTGATTCAATTGTGGTCAAAGTTCAATTGTGTTAGACAGAAACTATTTTGCCTCTAAAACAATGTCGTAGTAGGATTAGATGGATCAAGGTTGAATGTAACTATTTAGTGAAAATGAGAGTTTAGGATTTGGGAGGGGTAGATGGTGTAAGAGGGAGAAGAGATGTGTGTTTTGTTAGTCATCGTTATCCGATTGAGTTGAGTGGATTCTTCATTTTGTTATATGTCATCTTGTGTTAGATTGATTCAATTGTGGTCAAAGTCAAATCATAATCACCTTAAACCATAACTTAGTCAGACTCTAATTTAACATACTATAATTATTCAATTACAAAAGATTTACATAATAAAATTCGTTCAACTATTATTTGAAAGAAAGTCATCGTTCCTTTTATCTATAATTACTTACCATTTCAAATCCAACTTTTCCGCATCCAATTTGTAGCTTAATTTCCTAAAATCTCATCTATTAATTGCCATTATAAACACTAATTCCGAAATTTTACTATTACTTAAGCACTTTCTCTAAAAATAATTATTTAGTTGCTAAATAAATAATTAATAATTTAAAAACGATTATAGCAAGAGAGAAATCCATGGCAATTACCACAAAATATAAAACAAAATTAAGAAGTTAATTAGCTAAATGGATTTTCGGCGGTTAAGGGGAATAGATTTCAGTTTTAATTAAAGAAATAATTAATAATTTCATCAAAAATGGAAATAATTAATAATCCTTTATTTTCGGTTGTCAATCAAGAGGTACTGGAAACAAAATTCTTTCCGCTTACCGGCGTCGGACAGGGTCCGCTCGGCGGCGTCAGTGGGGGTCCGCCTGCGCTCGTCGAACGGAGTCTTCGCACGGGGTCCGCTCGCCAGCATCGAACGGTTAAAAAAAGGGGGGAAACATGCTCCTTCCTCGACGGCGGTGGCGACGGGTTGGAGTTGTGTGGGGAGGGAGGTTTCCAGTCTGTGGCGGCTTGGAGTTGGAGGAGAAGGATGGAGTTGCGGCAGTCAAGGGAGGTTGTCGGCGGTTTAGAGTTGGAGGAGATGCAGAGTTGCCGCGGCGGCTTGGTGATGGAGGAGAAGGAGGTTTCCGGCGGTTAGCTTTTTAAATGGAATGAGGTTAAAATTATAATTAGAAAACTACGGGCGGCAAATAGAAGTTCATATTAAAAATACCCTTTTGCCCCTTGCCCCACCCTCCCATTCCCCGGACTTAGGGATGGCAATGGGTCTGATTGGGTTGGGTTTTGACAAACTCCAAACCCAAATTCATGGGTTTATCCGTGAAAAAATTCCGGGGTAAAACCCACTGGGTTTGAAAAACTCAAACCCAACCCAACCGCTGGGCATCCGCGGGTTCATGGATACCAATGGGTTTTTGTCGTAAAAAATTTACAATAACAAGTTCCTATCAAAATTAAAGTCAAATATCAATCTCTCAATACAAATTATCCATATATAAACATTATTCTAGAAAATTCAAGCAAATCACAATTTAACTATACAAATTGTTCAACACCAATCTAGAAAACTCAAGAAAATTGAAACAAATCACAAATTATCCATAAATAACATGATTAATTGAAAGCTTCTTTCTCTTTATCAATTAAGTTTTTTCACTCTCCACTCGATACAATCAACTTCATTCTACACAATTAGAAGAAAAATTAGACATGTCTCCACAAACATAAATAAGTTAGTTGTTTAGAATATTAAATATACCAATAAAATTAATTATATGGGTGTGAGTGGATACCCATGGCGCGGATTTACCTAAACCCAAACTCAACCCAACCCGATAAATAGTGAACGGCTTTAAACCCAAAACCCGACCCAAAACCTGTCAACATGGATTTTACCCACGTTGACCGAATTGGATTGGATGGGTACCCGATGATTCGAGTTTTGTTGCCATCCCTACCCGGACCCCATAGGCGCTGCTAATGCCACCGCCACCGCCAACCACCATCCCTTTTCCCAAACTCCATAGCCGCCGCCGACAATCAACCAATCCACAATCAACCCGACCAATCAACCAATCCATTTCCATTTTCCTTTGTGTGCGTCTCCATCAAATTCAAATCCTTTCACGAAACAAAATTAAAAAAGAAAAAGAAAAGGGAAAGAAGGAAGCAGAAGGAGATGCAGAGAGGGATAGCTCGCTCCCGACAGATGCCGGCCACCATTTTTTCTGGGTTAACGACACGGGTGGGTTGAATTCCCGTCTGAATGAGATTAGAACGGGTGCGAGGGATGGAAGGAACGCGTGCTATACCCGTCCGTACTGCTCGCCGGACGGGTTGAAATCTCGTCGCCGGCGATGGCGAGACAGGTCGTTGACTCGTCCCAACCTCGCCGGAGACTGATTTTCAACCCTTCCGACGAGTGAACACAGAGTCTGACAACAGCACTTCTCTTTTTCCTTCTTCCGAGGACGACTGGGCAATGTGATATCTTCTTCGTCTTCATCCTTCTTCTTCCTCAAGGTTGGCAGAATCCAATAGTAGCAGCTAGCAGAAGTGGTGGCGGAGGTTGAATTGCAGATAGAGTTGGGGACTCGATCAATTGAAGGAGAGGGTAAAATGTATTTTCGATAGGTTTTAGGGCGAGTTTTTTTAAGATTCTAGGGCGTCAAATAGTAACTCTCGATGGACAATATTGGACATAGGCCTAGTCTGTAATGGCCAAAGATGGCGCGCATTGTCCTACACCTAACGGTCACTGGGGAATTATGGTGGTTCAACTTCCATATATGTTGGTAACTGAATTCCCCATTCCTCTACCTTCACCCTTCAAATCTGCAATGTCAATACTCAATAGGTACTGTGCATTTTCTTCTTCAGTTTACTGCTAGCTAGGTGTCAACATCCTTTGCCATTTCCCTCCAACCGCTGCCTTAATGGGATCTCCCCTGCTCTACTTTGCTATGACTATGATCAGCAAACACAAAAGGAAAGTACCATGGAGAAGAGAGGACTCCTTTCGAATCATCTGCCAATTCGGCAAGAGCCTCTCAAAACCTTTAATGACTTTATCTCCTTTTCATGGATGGTTCCCTTGCTCTGTATTCAGATACCTGGGCAGAGTTTTCCTAACGTGTAAGACGCCATATGTTATCGACTTAGCTTCTGGTCTATTTGTTATGGTGCCTTGTGGGTATTATGGTTTTCTTTTGTAATTGTTCTGCTGCAACTCTTCAGGGGATATTGGCAGAGGGGTCAGAACCGAGCAAGAAGAGAAGCTGCGTTCATGGCTGTATTCCTTGGGACATGCTGATAAAGATTTGGCCTTTGAGTATGTTCGATCGAGGAAAGAGGTGCGGTGTTTTCCTGCCCACGTTACTAATCTGACCCACCAAGTGTTTGATGTATTGCCTCCTAGAAGATCCTGTGTCCTTTCCTTCCTAGAGGAGCTAATTTCCACCTAGTAATAGTATGAATTAGCTGTAGTGTATGAAGGATAGGGCTCGACTCTCTTGAGATATAGTCTAATACTATGAGATAATGAAACCATCATTTGGCCTTTGATCGAATCATTAACCCTTGATAAGATAACCTAGGAACTAGATGCTTGGGTTAGATGTTTCTTTTTATGAAAAGCAAGCCTTCATTTCATCAAAGAGCTCACAAGGAACAGTACATTGTATCTCTTACTACTGCTATTAAATTGGTTGTACACTTGTACTGAAAAACATACATTCATACTTCTACAAAATCTGAAACCAAAACTTCATTCTCGAAGCAGCAATAGCAGCCTCACAATCTCCAGCTAGCTTCCACTCAATCACTTGCTGCAACTTCAGACATAACTCCTGAATCGTTAAAGCCTTCTTCTCAGACACCCCTCTACATCTTTTCACGCCAGATTTCACTCACAACAGGATTCCAGAGCAGTCTACCTAACTTGCATCCCTTAAAACGATTTACTGCAAGCAACATCCCCTGCTGTCAATCCCCAGTATACATATACTTCCATTCCCTTGTGAAAACAGTCTGCATAACTGTTGTACAAACCTGAGTCAAAATATATATGGTCTTTGATACTCAGATCCACTCATACACAATGGGCACTCATCATTCACATCAGGCCTCCATTTTTTCACTATGTCTAGTGTGTTGGCTCTATTCCACTGAATTAGCCATACTATAACCGAGTTTCTGAGAATAATGAAAGGTTTCCAGACCAGGCTAAGCCATGGAACCTTTTCTTTTCTAGGCCTCAACTCTTCCCAAACATTACTTACTAAGAACTTGGCAACTATCTGATTATTCCACAGCATATCCTCCCCTGCAACTACCATATTCCCTTCCACCACACGAGTCTTGAAAATCTTGTTCCATGCCCAGGACCCAGGACTCTTGACCTGCCAAAAACTTATGTGTCTGAGGCGATATTCTGTTAACCATGCATTCCACTGAGTTTTCTGATCAGCCGAAGCAGCCCATACATGTCTCACCAAACAAGCAGTGTTCCAGCTTCTCATGTCTTTGAAACCTAACTCTCCTTCTTCCCTTGGCAGTGCAATAAACTGCCAAGCAATCTTTGCCTTCTTTATTTCAGAACTAGAAGACCAGAGGAATTCAGAGCATATATCTCAACCTCTTAAATGACAACACCTGGCAGCAGAAAAACTCCCATCCAGAACTGAGTGATACTAGCTAACACTGCCACTATAAGTTGTAATCTTCCAGCATAGGATTGCAACTGAGCTTTTCAACCTTGTATCCTTTTGGTCATCTTATGAACCAGGGTTTACAGTCTCTAGAATTTAACTTTCCAACAATTGAAGGCCCCCTTAAGTACCTAACAGGTAAGAAATCTTGCTAGAAAGTGGAAACCTGAACTGGTAATTACTTCTTCCTTCTGCTCTGCTTCCAGCCAGCACTGAAAATCTCACTTTTCCCTGAGTTACATTTCAACCCCGAGAACATATGAAAATTTCACCTACAGCTTTTACCCCCTAAACAGTTCCTTTGGTAAAAATCAATAAATCATCTGCAAAAACTAGTGTCTTAATCCTATACGAGCACATTGAGGGTGGAAAGGTAAGTGCTTAGTGATTGCAGCCTTAAACCTTTCTTAGCCTGGAAGCTCTCTAATAAACCTCCAATAATACAGACCTGAAAAGTAGCACTAGCTAGGCAGCTTCAAACCCATCCAATTAACACGGTAGGAAATTCCATAGCAGCCATGACATTTTTCAATTTGCATTTGCATCCCAAATTCAGGTTTGAGTTTCACTGAAGCTGGCAAGAGACTGAAAGCGAACGGTCCAAATGTACCTCTCCGTTACACATACAAAAGGTGGTGGCGCCTTCTATGGGGCGCATTTTTCCATCCCTTTAACATCATTCTGGTTGTGTTATCAATGCTCTCATACATTGCTAGTGACACTCCAAATGGATGCATAATGTTTGTACTAGTTCTTACTAGCGTTTCCCTCCAATTCCATCAGGTACTCTCAGTTAACTGTATGAATCATAGGTTTGTCTCCACTACCTGTCTCCTTACAATGATGATCCTGGCTCATTTCTGCTGTTCTTCATTTGGGTTCACTTCGCAGGAATACAACAGTTCAAAGGCTGCCATAAATCTCACGGATTTTATTGCATGCCCCATTAAAGTACAGAGATGTCCAGGCAGATTATACAGAGAGAATTAACAATCCAAATAGATCAAAGAGATGTAGTTCCTGGAGATATCGTCATATTTTAATCATGTGACCATTTCCCTGGTGATATGAGACTGTTGTCATCAAAGCACCTTGTTGTAAGGTACATAACCACCAAAAGACTCCTTGTTCAGTTTTCCCACTCTCATATTTACAATCCTGCCATTTCTTGTACAACCAATCCTCCTTAACAAGGGAAACATGGACGGCAGAGAAAGCAGCTGATGTCAAGGAAGACGAAAGCACCCCATTGCTGGAGTTGAGGAACATTTTCTTTATGGGAACTAATGTGGTGTATGGCAGCGGGACTGGTTTAGTTGTTTCCACTGGTAGCAACACTTACATCTGCACTATGTTTTCAGCCATTGGAAGCAGCAAGCTCTTACTCCCAACATGCTTCCACTCATCGTGAACACAAGCCTTGCGAAGGGAGCAGTTTCCATGGCAAAAGACAGATGCATAGTGAAAAGCCTTGCTGCAATAAGGGAGATGGGATCTATGTAAGTTTCACATTCACTTCATTTCATGTTCTCTTTTAGGGAACATTCACTTCATTTCTGGATTCATATATACTATTCCAGTGCTCAGTGTTGGTTGTCAAGTTCATAATATGTCGGATTGCAGGGATATCTTATGCATGGACAAGACTGGTACACTGACCATGAACCATGCAATCGTGATTCATCATCTGGACGCTTGGGGTTTACAGACGGAAAAGGTTCTACACTTTGCCTTCCTTAACTCTTACTTCAAGACTGACCAAAAGTATCCCTTAGATGAGGCAATTTTGGCCTTTGCGTACACAAATGGGTACAGATTCCAGCCATCAGAATGGAGAAAGGTAGATGAGATTCCTTTCGATTACATACGAAGAAGAGTCGCCATCATCTTGCAAGAAACTGGTCCGGATGGCAGATCATACTCCAGATTAGGGACAGCTAAAGGAGCTTTAGAGCATGTCACCAAAGTATGCTCTTTCGTCGAAAATTTTCCAAGTATGAGGAAAGTTAAACCCTTCTCTTCAGAAGATAATGCCAGAATTATGAGCATGGAAGATGAGCTCAACAACCAGACCCTCAGGATTTTAGGAATTGTTGTCAAAAGATTGGACAAGGTGAGTCTGCATCCCGCTTCTCATTTTTCTATCATCCTTCACAAGTTTACAGTTTGTCAGTTCTAGTACTGACTAGTACTTATGTTTTTTTATTAAAAGGGCGATCTGAGCTTGTCCACCGTGGAATAAGACATGATCTTCCTTGGATTAATCACATTCTTCGACCCACCTAAGGACTCAGCAAAGCAGGCACGCTGCAGACTGTCCTAGAAGGGAGTCCAAGACAAAGTGTTAACAGGAGACTCCCTGTCTCTAGCCACAAGGATCTGTCAAGAACTCGACATTAGCACCCACCACGTAACCACCGGGCCAGAACTAGACCAGCTAACTCACGATGCCTTCCAAGGACCTCACTGACATCATCCTGCTGGAGAAAGACCTCAATATCCTCGTAGCTGGAGTTGACCATGGTTGTCGAACATTTGGTAACACCATGAAGTACGTCAAGATATCGGTCGTTTCAAATATAGGGAGCATTCTCTCTCTTCTCGTTGCAACCTTACTGCTAAAGTTTGAACCTTTTACTCCATTGCAGCTTTTGGCTCAAACCTTTCTGTACAGTGTGGGTCAAATAGCTATCCATGGGATAACGTTGAAGAAGAAAACCTTAGGAATCCACATAGATGGTCGGAGAAGGATCTCCCACGGTTTGTCCTTTGGAATGGGCCTGTGTGTAGCTTAGTTGATGCTGGGAATCTGGTGTTTCTCTCCCTAGTCCCATTGGTGTGATAAGGACGTGAAGTTTTTCCATTCAGGTTGGTTTGTGGAAGGGCTTCTTATGCAGGCGTTGATCTTTCACTTGATCCTAACTGAGAGAGTTCCTTTCGTTCAATCAATTGCTTCGTGGCTTGTGGTCTGATCGACCATCATGATCTCTGCGATTGGTGTTGCAATTCCTTCGACGCTTGTTTGGTTTTGTATCGCTGCCAGTATCTTATCATGGTTTCTTGGTGCTGCTATCTGTAGCTTATTTTGCTGTCGGTTAGAGGGTTAAGAGGGTTCATATCATGGTCTACAAGCAATGGCTCTGATGAACACCTTAATTCATAGGTTATCAGCATGCTCGAAATCAATTTTGTTGCAATAAACCAGACTTATTCTTCTTTTTTTATCGACTTAGTATCACTGAGATTGTAGTTCCAGAGTAGTAAATGCAACTTCCCGGTGATACAGGGTTATATTCAGTACGCAGGAAAACTGGTTACTCTTAACATATTAATTGTCTTGCAATCTGCAGGAACCAACAGAAAAATGCTTTTGAACAAAGAATTGCAGAAAAAACGCCGTACGAAATCAGTATCGTTCTCACTCTCGAGTCTTCTTGCCCCTATTGTCGATCCATCATAAAATAGCATGGAGAAATATCAAGGCAGAGACCAGTGCATGGAATACTAAAGCGTCTAAATTCTGCTTTCCTGGAGAATCACCTGCATAAACATGACTCCCGTATCAATACCGCGAATGTTTTTCTATAAGAGCAAATACCATGGAACTATAATGAAGTGATTACCAAGTTGAAGGTAATTGTTCCGGACGTTCCATTCGAAATCCCAGTGCTTCCTGTCATTCTTAAGCGTCCAGTAAGCCCATCCAAATGAAGCTGCATTATAAACCTCAAGTTGAGCCTTTCCAAAGTTCTGATACTCTGCCTGAGATCCACTCGTCACGTTCCACTCATTCACCCATTCCCCTGAAACATCCAAGCCAACTCTGGAGCAGTTACTTCTACAAACTCTCTGCCATGGAATCAAACAGTATAAGATAAGGAAAATTGAGCTCTCACCAATGAAAACAAGTGGACCATTTGCACCATTCAGGGCTGCTAATTGGGTCTCTCGACTCTTGAATATAAACTCTATGTTGTCAGAAGCACTCATATTGACGAAGAACACGTCGAAAAGGTTGTAGTAATGCAAATCCACTACTAAGTTGTGAGATCCTATGTTAGCTTGGTATAGTTCCAGCGGATCGGCATTGCCAATTCTCTGGCAAACAATGACGTAAGCAGAAGGCGATTGTTTTCGAACAATCTGGTAACCTTGTGAGTAGTATGACACTAAGAGGTCCAAGGGAACCGAGGCAGCTGAAGGCTCGTTCAGAAGTTCAATCCCCAGTAAGGAAGGGTGGTCTCCGTATCTGCACCAGAAAGCCAGTCAGAAGTATCAGATGCCAAATTCAGTCAAAAGGACATCAAGTAACCTAGCAGAGTCGCAGTTGCAGTCATGAAATATACCTTGAAGCTAGGAAGTCTATAACATCAAGTGTTTGGGAGATGTAGTCCTGAGAAGTAGGCCACCCAACTGTACCGTCTTTACTAGAACTATGTTCAAAACCGTTTTGTGAACCAGGAGCTGCATGAAGGTCAATTATGCATCTGATATCATAGGCTCTGCAAACGTTTATTTTTTCCAGTGTTGGTGTCAATAGAAGAGATGGGAAGTTTTGGCCAAAAAGAAAAGATAGGGAAAGCAAGACCCAACTGAGCCCATGTGAAAGCATTATCTAGAGCTTCCAATGAACCCCCAATAAATGGGGCTGGAGGATCAGGATCAAAAGCAATCCACCAGCCAACAGGTATCCTTACTGCATTTATCCCGTGTCTATATAAGAATTTGAAATCTTCAACCGTAATGAAAGTGTCCCTGTGCTTCTGCCGTTCCAAGAAAGTGAGAGACAATGAAGTGCATAAGTTAGTATTGCAGGTGGGAAGTCCATCGAAGGATTACCTTAAGAACCTGTTTGGCTTGATCATGACCATATCCGTTAGCAAGCTGGTAATCTCCATGCAGGTTGTTGGAGACGATTGTCATTTCAAATGTGGCTGCATTATCGTCCCATCCCGGTGTTCCTGGATAGTCTGCCGTGAGCTGATTTCCAATTGTAGCCTAAAAAATAGCATATGTCCTATCATGCAATACAACTATGATCTTCTCGGATTGCTAAGTACTGATATTTCTACCTACAGATTTTCCTATAACATAACATTGAATCAAGCCATACCTGCAAATAGGCTCCACGGGAAAGTTTCAGGTGAACTCTGTCATTGTTGTTCCTTTCGATATGAAAAGTTTCCCCATCTGAAGATGAATTTGCAGTTGCAGTTACAGTACACCCTTGACCATCACATGCTAGTAACTGCCCTTGCGAAGTGCGGAGGTGAAATTCTGATGCCGAAAGCCTCCATAACTGGGAATAATGAAATTGACTAAGATGACTTGAAGCAAATGTGAAGTAGTGACATAGTTAGAAGAATGTCTATGTATAGGGAGCTAAGCAATTTATTTGAGAATCTCACCCTGAAAGTTTCCCAGGCGGATGGAGAATCTTTACCAACAGAGACACCCATGCCACCACCATTCTCTGCGGATATATATCTCTGCAATGTCACCGACTTGAATTGAACTTCTGTACCATCCTATATGTTGGCACGTCATCAAGAAATTAGACATTTTGCTCAAGACACCCTAAAACACAACCAAAAACTAGGGGAGGGGAACAAAGATGCTCACAAGCATGTCTCCATTGGGAATGCCATCAAACAGAGAAGGCTTAATCCAACCTTCCACAACCAACCAGCCACCCAAATTCACTCCTTTAACTTTGGCATCACCAGGAAGTCCTTCCACTAAGAAAACCGGCTTGAGTTAAGTTTTAGAACAGATGGCATTCTCAGAGCACAATCAAAATAAAGGAAGGAACTTTAGGGGGGAAATGGAGGAACAAAACTCACAAGAGTGCCCAACAAAGAAGATGATCCACCAGGAGATAGTAAATGCCAACACCCATTTGCTCAAAGCAGTCTCCATGAAGAATGAGGGGCTCCTAGAACATCAACAAACTCGAAAACACAGAACCCATCTGCAACAACAGCTGAAATAAAGGAATGGAAGCTCATTCAGGAAACCCTTCTCATTTAAAAATTCATCAGTAGGGGAGAGTCCTAGTATAAAATCCCTTTCTTCTCACTCAATCAATACCAAATGCAACATTGGAAACAATAACACCAATGTCATCACGCATTTCTACACTAGGAAAATCCTAGGCTATCCCACTAAACAGTGCAGGAAAAGAGTCGTGCAGCCAAAAAGCACGAGTCATAGAAGTAAAGCGATGAAGAAAGGAACAATCTTTCTGGCATACATATGAGTTAGAAAGGTGTGGGGGATTAGTAGGATGAAGAAAGGGAAAGGATGTTACTTTGCGTGGAGAAATGGTGGTTGTATGTTTGATTGGTTCGATTTGGAAAGGCGACAATGAAACGAAATTGGGTGAAAAGGGCTTTGCTTTACAAGCAAGCTTAAGTGGGAACACAACAAAGCTCAATCAATAGCTCACCATAAACGGGGAAAACAGGGGGTAAAAGAACAGTCCACGGGTAAACCGGGAAAAGCCAGGTAGCCAACAAGACAGAAATAACTCTTCACCTCTTGATCGCTAAACCGGAACAACTTCTCTTCCTCTCTTGCATATCCAGATTGAAGAACTTCACTTTGAATGAAAGCTGTGGGGATTCGTCAAACCCCCTTGGGGTTTTGCCGGTGAGGAAGAAACTGAGGAGCAGAGCCTGCTCTCCGCTTGGGATTTCTTCCTGGGAATCGGGGCACGCTGATAGTAAATGCCGAGTGCAGTCTCAGAATCCGATGCAGTAATAAAAATTTCCATTGAGCTAGCCAGCGAGCGAGCTGTCCAATGTAGAAATGCCGCCAGACTGACGAAAGGGGAATTGCAGGCAAAGCTTTTGACCCAATATGCAAGAAAAACAAAACCAGGGCATCTTGAACCTTCTTTTCCATTTCAACTGGTAGTCCTGAAATTTCTTACCGGTGGTAAATTGCACCCTTGACGTTTGAAATGACGTCAAAAGGATGGGATGCCCTATTGAGTACTGCTCCTGTCCGTCTGATCTCTGATGTAAAACCGGTAGCGTCCGTGGAACTTTTAAAATTCAATTTGATTACAAACAATATTTTTTATGTCTATTACAAACAATATTTGAACTCATGTAGAAGTAGAAACAAGAGAATGTAAACTATGATTGGTAAAAAACATTTTACCTTATGCATAGTAAAAAAAAATTCAAATGTATCATGGTACTAAATTTTGGATTTGTACAACTTTCTAAGGAACATTTTATAGATATGACCTCCCATTAAAAAAGGTTCACGTGGAAACTATACTCTAACTTTTCACAGTGATAAGAACAGAGAAGTTGCTACTTTGAATCTCACCGTCATATTAGCATTGCACCTAGGGCTGCAAATGAGCCAAGATTGCTCACCAGCGGCTCGATACACTAAGGAAAAACTTGATGTAACTCGGCTTGTTTACTTAGGAGTCGAATTTGAGAAAAGTCTTGCTCAACTGGAGTGTTAGCTTGGCTTGGTGGCTCATTGAGTTTGACTCGTGAGTAGGGGTGGGCAACCGGTTCGGTAAACCTGAACCGAACCGAAAACTAATTAAACCGAACCGAAATCGAAATAATGTTATTCGGTTCGGAATTCGGAAGGGAAATATGGATATTTCCGAAACCAGAGTTCTTTCAACCGAATTTCCGAATTTCCGACCGATAAATCGAAATACTATAATTGCAAGCTCCAAATGGTGGATTTTTATGTTTGTAGTTGTTTTTTTATTTAAATATTTGAAATGTTTTATGACTTATGTGTTGAAAAGTTTGATTTTATCATTGATGATGCATATAATTGCATATTTATTATTTATATTAGGGGTGAAAAATAATTTAGAAGTGAGAAGATATAAGTAGCCTCACAAATTTGGTTTTATGTGAAAAACTGAACCGAACCGAATTATAATTGGTTTAAACCGATCGAACCAAATTATAATTCGGTTCGAATTCGATTTGAGGTTTGGAAGAATTCGGGGACCCGGTATTCATAATTTCGGTTCGATCCAAACCGAACCGACCGAATGCCCACCCTTACTTGTGAGCTAGCGAGAGCTACTTATTAATGAATTGATCTATAACTTATGAGTTGGTTTGTTCATAATTTATAAGTTGGATATATTACAAATTTCTATTGCACAACATAGAATGGTTTAGACTTGATTATGTGGCCAAATATGTCTCATTTAAAAGTGACTTATATGGTGAACTCACAAAATGAGTGCATTATTGTCCATCAAAATCTAAAACTAGCATCAAGACATCAAATTTTGAACTTTAATGGGTAGAATCGGTCTAAAATAATGATATAACATATGATCATAGCTTCTCCATGCATTATCCTAAGTCCTAAAGCTCCAATTTTGAATCCTAACCTAAATCCCGAAACCTTAATGATATAACATATGATCATAGTAAATCTTGAATGATTTATGTACAAATTCGTTTGTTTTCTTGTCCATCATATCACAAGTAATTTTTTACATCATTTCGACATGAATCGCCTTCTCAAAATAACGATTATGAGGAGGTGAGTAGTATCCACCAAAAAAATGAGTGCACCAAAGGCAAAACCATCCTCAAAGATAATTATTTATTAAAAATTGTTTAGATACTAAGTACTATTGAATTAGAATAACATGTATCATATATGACATATAAATATTATGATATTTAATATAAATAAATTACTTTCAAGTCTATTTAGAATTTTTTCGTGTAGAGTCATAAATGAGCTTAACTCGATTCTAACTCATGAGCTAACAATGAACCAAACACGAGTAGAGTTCGTGAACTTATCAATAAAGCTCCTTCCAAATTTGAGTCATAATTTTAATAAACGGAATGAGCTCAATCTCAACTCGTTTTCAAAGGAATTGAGTTTGAACTATGTCAAAACTCTCAATTAGTTTGCAACCAAATGGGCTATTTGTTTGAAGTCTTCTATCCCAACTGAGTGCTTTGAGATTAACTTCTACTTATATTCATGAACTTGTGGCAGATATCGTTTCCCAATTCTCCTATACATCTTCGTGAACTTTCGCATTGCAAATCGCAAATGTATTCATCAAGCTGCTCCCCACAGCACACAATTTCATATCCTTTACCCAAGTTGGCGGACCTCCCTCCCAACAACTTGCTGAGTATGATAAGGATCAAGACTCATTCCTTCTCTTCTACTAGCTGCCCACAAATGTTGTTCACCTACTTTTTGCCACTTCCTTAATTACTCTATTCATCATTACTCATCTTAATACGACACTCAAAGTACACTTGCTACATATTAATCCTAACTTGAAGGGCGGGTTGGGTGAGTTTGGTCTCAAATTGATACACCTCCTTACTGGCGAGTTGGTATAATTGTGATCCGTTATCCACTCATATTCTTCTGGGAGTTGGGTAGGTGGCGGATGAGTGCAGTAGGGTTGTAGGTTAATCCGCAAAAGCAATTCCCCAACTAGCCATTAAGAAAGTTTACTAACATTTATAACAAGTTCCTTGTAAATTAGTAATTCTATCGATTTAGAAACTTCTCACTTTGTCTTATGTGAATCCATGTACTATTTGCATCAAAAATTTCAATACTCTATCAACCAATTGTGTAGAGAAATTGAGAAAACTAACACATTTTGCGACTTTGATAAAATTAATAGTTTATAATTTGCATCCAATATCTAATGGATATTACACAACACAATAACTATAATAGTAGTTCAAAAATATTCTTTATTCTCCATTTTTAGAAGTAAATGGTAGTTGTGTTTTGCAGTTAGGAAATATGATGAATATTCAATAGCATAAGAAACAACATTATGTCATGTGAAAATGTAGTGCGGATATTCCGGTGACCCACTATCTACCCACCACTGGGGATGGCAATTTTGACATGATCCGTTTTACCCGACCTGTTTGACCTTTTTTGGTGCGGGTCTGACCTGCCGCGTAGGCGGGGCGGGCATGGGTAGTCTCATCGACACGACCTGCCCTGACCCGCCCCATTCTCGACCCGTTATTGTCTAAATTACATGTAATCTTAGTCAAATTACTTAGAATTTTCCTTTTATTGCATCATATTTTAGCTATAATAAAGTTGTAAATTAGTAAAAACCTCAATTTCTCTAATAATTTAAGGGTAATGTCTATTTTTTATCCAAACCTTTCTCAGATTCTTTTATATTATCTAAACATATCAAAATACTAAGAATTAGCCAAATATTAACTTTGAGTTAGCAATTTTGTTAGTAATATTGACTTGACAACATTGTACTGACTTGAAAGAGACTCATGAAAGTCAACATCCCAAAATTTTAATATTTTAACTAAGGAAAAAGTTACAAAATTGCTATGGAGGTCTTAGATGCATTATTGAAGAGAGCAGCAGTGCAAAATCACATACCATATCACCCTAGATGTAAACCACTGCTATTACGCATCTGTGTTTTGCAGATGACTTGCTAGTTTTCACTAATGGTTCGATCAGGGGGGTTGCTGGGATCTGTAGAGTGTTGGACGCTTTTTACTCTGTGTCTGGATTGAAGTGTAATCCTGATAAATGCCAGATGTTTTGTGGGGGTATTCCAGAAGAGGAAAAGCAAAGAATATCTGCTTACTCAAAATTTCCAAATAGTTTTTTACCAGTTCGCTATCTTGGGGTGCCTCTGATTACTGGGAAGCTTACTAAGACTGAATGCAGGGTGTTGATTGAGAAGATTACAGGGAAAATTAATAGTTGGAGAGCAAAATTTCTCAGTTTTGCAGGCAGGTTGCAGTTGATTACTTCAGTGCTTACAAGTGTGTTACAATTTTGGATGGGGTTTTTCTGTTACCAAAGTATGTGATAAAAGAAGTAGAGGCTATATGCAGCAGGTTTCTTTGGGATATCAATGATCCTTCGATCAGGAAAAGAGCAGTGGTGGCCTGGCAGTTCATTGCTAGACCAAAAAAGGAAGGGGGTTTGGGTATAAAGGACTTCTCAATCTGGAACAAAGCCTGTGTTTGCAGGCATTTTTGGGCGATTCTAGCAGCAGAAGGTTCTCTATGGGTTGCATGGGTTACACGCTATAGGGTGAAGCAAACTTCTATCTGGGATCTGAAAACCACAACAGCAGGGGCCTGGGTCTGGAAGCGATTACTAAAATGTAGGAATGAGATGAGGCCATTCATCTCTGAGATTGGCTCTGAGTTGCAGTGGTGTGGACAGGCTATGCCATCTTACTCTGTTTCGAGGGTGTGGGAATCGTTGAGGCAGAAGGAGGCTGAGATCAGATGGTTTAAGATTGTATGGGATAAACATATCATCCCTAGACATGGATTCATTTTATGGTTGGTGATTAATGACAGGTTGAAACTGCAGAATAAACTGATTGCGTGGGGTAAGCCACTTACTGAGCATTGTCTGTTGTGTCCTGGAGGAATGGAAGATCGAGATCACTTATTCATGGGATGCTCTTATTATCAGTTTCTGAGTTGTAAGGTTTTGAAAGAGGATTCACCTCCTGTGCTAGGGAGCTGGAATGCTGTGTTGGAGTGGTGTATTACGAAGTGGGCGAGTGATTCTCCGGTTCATTCTTTGAATAGAATGAGCTGGAGTGTCCTTGTTAGTCTTGTTTGGAGAGAGAGGTGCTCAAGGTTATATGGCTCTGTGGCAGCAAGAAGTCCTTCTCAGCTTCTGGTTGATGCAAGGAGAATTCTTTGGAGTCGTTGTCTATTGAACCAATGCCTAATTGATTGCTTTGAAGCGAGGGGACTTGGGGTAGACGGTTAGCAAGTTAGGCTTGTTTGTTTTTTCAGTTATTGAGTATCTCTGTGAGGTTATGATGTACAGGATTGTTAGTATTCTGAGGGCTCCATAGCGCTTTTGCTATTGGTGTCGGTTCTTAATGCAATTTTGATTTAACCATAAAAAAAGAGTTACAAAATTATTAACGATAACGTAAAAATGACTAATATTTTGATGCATTATGAAAGATTTGGATAATTGAAAGAATTTTAATAGGTTTGGATAATATAAAAGAATCTGAAAAAGTTTTGGATAAAAAATAGATATTACCCATAATTTAACTACAATTGTCATAATATTGTTTGTTTTCTTAGTTTTACAATAAAAATAACGAATATTTCTAATGTTTTTCATATAAATTGCGTACCCATTGGGTTGACCTGTCCCGACCCGCAACCCGTGATCAATTACCCGACCTGGACCCGACCTGCCACGGAACGGGTCTGGGTACCAAGAAACCCGCCCCGGACCTGCCCCATTGCCATTCCTACCCACCACCCACCCACCCACCCACATAAATACGAGTAGAAAATTTATCAATTCGCAATCCATCCACATCAAACACTCACTGCTTACATTTCGAGTTATTTGTGGGTAAATCGATATCAACCCGCGGAATAACCACCCAGGTACCCACCATTATTAACTTGAACTGCATCCATCTAATCACATATTCCCATGAGCCCTAAATTTATCCTATTTGCTACAGAGCGACGACTTGAACTGAGAGCAAAGAGAATCAAACCATGGATTACGAGTTCTAGAAAACTTGCAAATCTAGAAGAATTCTTTCCTTCAGATTTCTTTAGTATACACTTTCACTGTAATGTATGTATCACCAGCCATAATCAACAAAAAAACTTCGCAGAATCTAACATTGGAAGAACTTACTTTTGTTCTTCCGATGTTCATACCGCAGCAACTCACTCAGTCACTCTGTTTTAATACACACCCTCTGTTTTTTTCAGTGTGTTTGTCCCCTGTTTTTTATTACTACTACCCACCAGCTAGTTTCGCAGCATCTCCAGGCTTTCCTGCAGAATCCGCTTCAGCTCGCAGTCTGACTCTCACAATGGAAGGATGGAGTCATGGCTTCTGCCGCCATGTCTGGAAGTTGAAGCCTTTGATGACGAGTTCGACCTTTTCATTAGAACGGGGCCCTTCTGCAACCCAATAATCGACCCGCTTTTCATCAATTTCCGGAAGCTCAAACTAGTCCCTCTTTTACCACCATTCCTCGATTTCGTGCAACTCTTCAGCTCTCTGGCTACCAAGTTCTTCCCTTCTCCTTCTTCTTCCACTTCTATATTCTCCACCGCCCTGTAAATCGCCATTGCTGATGACGAATCCAGAGACAGCGATCGCCTCACCCCCTGCAAATCCCCTGCCCCTTCTCTCCTTCCTCCTTCTAACACATCGCTTGGAACCCTCGAATGACTTCTTCTTAATAATACCATCAATCTCTTCGAATGGTCTGAAAGTTCCACTTCATTGCTACTACTACCACCACTACCGATTCTCGCTTCACCGTCTTCTCCTCCCTCCTCGTTTTCCTCCGTTGCAGTAATTAGAATTGTAGGCTCCAAATTCTCCACTGGAGAATCTTCTCCAGAATTGAGATTCACCGATGACCCTGCAGCAGCAGCAGCTTGAACAGCAACAGCTCCGGAATTCGCAGCGGCCGCAACGATTGGGGCGCGGCAGAGAGGGCAATTTTTGTGAGATCTAAGCCAAGTATCGATGCAAGGGATGTGGAAAGCGTGGCTACACTTGGGCAACAACCTTAAGCTTTCGTCTTCTTCAAACTCGCTCAGGCAAACAGAGCAGTCTGTTCCGTCGATGAAATTATCCTCCTTTTTGTACCGAAACACGGCGATCGATTCGATTATCGACTGTTCCAACCCCACGGTGTGGATGTACCAAATCGGATGGTCAATCACAGGGCCGTGATCTTCCGCGATGAAATCGTCCTGTGTAGCGAAAACCGCCGATGGATCCCGCCGCCGCCAACTGAAGCTCAGATTCCTGCGCCGCCGCCTCGATCTCCAGATTCGAATAACTAGACAGAAGATTCCTATCAGCAGCGCGAAGCCGATCATCGCCCCCGCGACGGTCATGCTCGTGACCAGCAGATTCTTCCGGTTTAAGTGCCCGCCGGTCGGAATCAGGGAGGGAACGACGGGGAACTTGGTGGGCGGCGGCGGAGGAGGCTGCGGAAAGATTGGGTAGAAGTTGTCATCGTTATCGACGAAGAGGAACTTACAAGTAGAAGGGCAGACGGCGAAACAGGGGCCGTGGCAGTTTCCATCTGGGTTGAAAGCGGAATCGCAATCGAGGAGGCAAGAGGAATCTGTGTTGAAGCTCGTCGCCGCCGTGGTGGTGGTGGTTTCGGTGAACATCATCTTCCTGGGATGGAACTGCATCGGAGAAAAACAGAGGGATGTCAAGAATCATTCATTCACGTGAGGTTTTGGAAGAGAATCAAAACCATGGACGGGGAAAATTGGGGAAGGGGCGGAGGTTAGGTCTCGGCTTGATAGCTGGGGTTTGGACTTTGAAGTAATTGAATGGGGTGGAGATTGATGGAGGAGGCGAAGACGAAGAAGGAGACTTTTCTTTTTTTTTTTCTTTTTTTTCCCTTTGTTTATGGTTTCTTTCATATTTCTGGAGGGGGAAGTGGAGGTTTCACTTCACTGGTTGGGAAAGCAAAGCGAAAGTCAAAGGGAAAGCCATTTTCGGGGGCCACGATCACTGCATTTTCACGCGTTTTCTACGGAATACAGGGTGACGTAGGAGGAGAGGTCTGGAAGTGGAAAGACGATTTTTTTTTGAAAATGAGCAAAGGCTGGGCGGGCTGTGCTTCTGCTCATTGGGCCGGATAAGGGAAAGCCCGCAACCCTTTTAATCCATCCGAGAGAGATAACAATTTGGTGGTGGATCAAATGAAGTGACCAATTCAAAGGATTTTGATCTGATAGATTGTATAGATCCAAATGACATATAAATATTGGAGTTATATGTAAATTTTAAAAAAGTTTAGTTTAGGTACTAAAATATCATAATAAAAAATATTAGGAACCAAAAATGAAAATTTCAAATGATAGTTTTCGTTAAAAAATACATTTTTAGGTATCAAATTGTAAGATATATAAAATATAGGTAACAAAATTATAATTTTTCAACAATCCATTAATTTAACGATGGAATTGAATTTAGATAAAATGATTGGATTGAATGGGTGGGATTAATTGTATATTTAACTTGATGGATTGGATGCAAAATTGTCACCTCTAGATAGCATGAATCTTTGTTTTTACATTTTCTACCTGGCAACGATGACAAGAGACAGGTGATGATATTGGAGAACCATATTCTAATTTAATATACTTTAGCAGTATGAAACTTATTAAACCATACTGATTTTTTCCATATAACCTTCAATATAATTTTATAATCCTCGCCAGTGTTGTCCTTTCTTTTTTCATCAGCGGCTATCATTTTGTCCTTTAATTAAAGTTGGTTGTTGATAAGGTTGGCAGTAGATATAGAAAAATATTCGTAACCGTAGATATTCGCTTAAATCCGATCTAATCGGATAGGGTAAAACCTGAATATGAAGGATATTTAGTGGGTACGGGTAAAATCCGAACCCGAATATTGCGGGTAATGGATGGACGTGAGTTTCTTACTATCCAACCCGAACCCGTCCGATTATACACATGCATATGTATTTTTTCTAGAAATAATCATTATTTTTCTCGAACATATTTTATATTTAGCATATAAATATAATATTTTGATGAAATTGTGTAATTTTAATTAATTTTCTTCATTCTAGTGAATTATTGTCGTACTTTTCCTCTTACGTAATGTGAGAATACGTGTGCGTGTTAACATATTGGTTGGAGTTATGAAGAGAAATTATTACCCATGGATAACGTGGATACCCGAAACCCGAACAGGTATGTGCATGGTTTTGATTTTCTACCCATTTCAAATGTGAGTATGGATATGTTAAAACTCGAACCACTATAGATAGAGTAACGGATATGCACTATCTGCACCCGAATCGACTCGAACCGACCTGACCCATTGCCTTCCCTAGTTGGGAGGCGAAATTTATTAGCTAGTTTGAGTCACGAAGAGAAGTAATAAAATTTCTGAAACTGCTTTACTATTGGCTTCTTTTTTTTATCAAATTTTCTAGCGTTGCATTGCTGCACAGAAGCCAATAGTAAAAACCTGGAGGCACAAAGTTGATTATATGAAGATTTTTTGTGAATTAATGCACTTGCCTCATCTTCAATTTTTTTTTTTTTTTTGGAATTTCTAATATGGTCCCACCATCACATAAAAACAAGTTTAGCCATTAAATCATCTAACAATTTATAATTACCTCCATCTCTGTAATCTTTTAGCAATTTTTATTAATAAGAGCTACAATATTATCATATAATTTGTAACTGACAATATATAGTGCATAATATATTTGAAAATCTATTTATCATGTGTAATAATAAGGTGTAGATATTCTAACAAAATAAATAGAATTTCATGTATGTCAATAAATTCTCCAATAATTTTTGTATGTTTGTATTTTGCTAAACATTGTTTGCTTTCTGACTTTATTATCAATCAACTGTATATTTTATATAAAAATCATGTGTATTTTTTATTTATAGGAATTTCTCTCTATTTTTCACGAACTAATGTTGAATTAATAAGCTATAGATCTTTAGTTTCATGTTTGGACAATAAACATCTAATATAATTTATAACAAAAAAAATTCATAATTTACTCTTCTAATTAATTAACTACACAATTTTTACTAATCACAACTTAAAAGTAAACAAAGAAAAGAAACCAAGTAAAAGAAAATGAAAGTGTGTCTCATTTGTCTAGGTTGCATTGCCGGTGCACTTTCTAATTGAGCAATCTTTTACTAATTTAAAAAGTCTCCACACATTCTTAGCAAGTGCTAACAACTTTGCCACATAGATTCCACACCACTTAGCACTTGTTAATTGATTTGGGATAGATTACACACTTTTATACCTCTTTGGCTTCGATTAGTGTTCGACCAAAAGATTGAAAGACGGTTGGAATAAAAAAAAGCATTGAAGAAGGGGGAACAGCCTAGAACAAAGACTATCACACGACTGTGTTGCTAGACCATGTTTGGTTACGCGTGACGTTTTGACGACGCTGGAAATGAAGCAAAACAAGTTGGAACATAGGTTGGACATGACTGTGTTGCCATACCGTGTTTACTTAAATGATCGTTTTATTATCATGATTAATTGGACAAGTAGTTTTAGAGGGGACCGGTAACGTAGCGTAACACGGTCTGAACACGCCCGTGTCGCGTGGTTGTGTCGCTCGAAGCGTCGTTGAGCGTTTAAGGACGATTCGAACGGGGACTACGATTGCGGACAACACGGGGTAGAACACGACCGTATCCCGTGTCCGTGTTCGACCTGATATAAAATACGTCAGTTTTCTGCTCTCTCTCTCTCTATTTTCATTTTCATTTTCATCTCTATTTTCATTTTCATCCACCGAAAAGCTCTAAACGAGCAGATGACGCAGGGAAGGAAGGATGAAAGGAAGGAACCGTTCCTCTCTCGTCCCTATCGAAGCGGCGCGCTGACTCGACCTCCTATGTTCGTTGTTTCTCAACGGAGAAAAAGAGGAGGGAAGCGAAGAAGGAAAAGAAAGGGAAAGAAAGGAGTCCACGCGCTGGATTTTGGTTAGGGGTAGGTCAGAAACCATTCCATGGAGTCGGAATCCAAGTTGGTGTTCGTTTGATGGGTCGTCGGAGCTTCGCCGGAGCATGCCCGGAGTGTTGCTGGAATATGGAAAAATACGAATTTCAATCAAACTTTGAATGGTGGGTACAGTTTCGAAGAGGGCAATCCCAGGATCGTCACTATGTTGATGAAATCGAATTCCACCGTCGGACGAAGGAGAACCGAGCCTTGAAAGTTTGAATGAAAATCTGTCAAATTTAGGTACCATTCTTGCTAATTCAAAAATTTAGAGGATTGAATATGAAATTTTCCAAAAGGGTAGTGGTCAATGGTGTTGACTGGAAAATTATAGATTTAGTACTTGGTACTTTGGAATTTGATAGAATGTTTACTTTGGCCATAACTTGTTCCTTTGACGTCCAAACGAGGAGCCGTCGGCGCCTACGGAATCGTGGAAGTGAGGAAAATATTTTGGAAGCAAGTATGAGAATTTTAGAGCATAATCAGAGTCGGTTTTGATGGATTCAAAGTGAGTGTAAAGGGGGTAATATCTCAGTCGTAGCTCGTAGGTCTTCTAGTTTATGCAATTACTTTAAGTAATGCTAGTTAATTTTTGAGTGATGCACGATTATGTGTGTGAGGCATACCACTGTCTACTAAAGGTGGAGGCTCGCGTTGTGCTTGTGTATGTATGAATGTGTGTGTTAATGTATGGATGATAGTAAGAGGAACCCCCGGGTGGTTGGGCAATTACTGGGAGTGGTAGATGGTCGAATCACTGTTGGACGGTGATACGTAACGCGACAGTTGATCGAGCATGATATTGGACGGCGAGACGTTACATAGACCATTGCCTAGTTGGGTATGCAACCGGACGGCGAGACGTAATGTGGTTGGCATACTGAGTTAGGGACACCGAACGACGAGACGTAACGCGGTGGACCATAGTGTTATGTGTATGAGTTAAGGATAGAAGTATAGAACTTTTATGAGTTAAGGATAGAAGTTGAGAACTTCTATGAGTTAACATTGGAATAAGGTATTGAGGATGAAAGCGAGAACGACTTTCACCTAAGTAAAGGAAACCTAATAACGTGTTTTAGTAAGGAAATGCTAATAACGTGTTTTAGAAAAGGATCAACTTCCGAGGGAGTGGTTATGCAAGCCTTAGTCAATCGATTAAGCGGGCTAGGAAGCACTTGAATAGCTTTCCTAGATAATTTTGACCTCCTAATGGTATATGAATCTACCTACCACACTAGAACTTCATCTTTTCACCTTAACACGAGACTAGGGTGAGCAATGTCCAAGTGATCCTTTCTCATTTGGATTCACCAAAGTTTAATTGCTTATTTGTTTAGTTTCCTTAGCTTTATCCAAAATTTGATCGCTAGATAATGTGTAAACGGTCGAAGTAAGGATAGATAGTCTGCTAGGGTTGATATTGAAATACTTATCCTATCCTACAATCGATTATAGGTTGCACTTGGCCTATAGTTGGGATAGTGTTGTAGTGGTAGTGAGACACTAAAATTGTTAGGGATGAAGATGTTGTTATACTTAGCAATGTCATGACAAAGAATGATTTTGTATCGTCGTGTTTGAGTTTTGTCAACTACATGATAATGCCCTAATGTATGTACATATAGTTTTTCTCCTCTTTTACATGTACTAATTTTCATATCTTATGGGGGAACTATATGATAATTCCTAATGTATGTACATATAGTTGTCTCCTCTTTTACATGTACTAACTTTCATATCTTATGGAAGGATAGAAGAAGGGAGGTTGTTGATCCACCATTTTCAGATGAATGTGTAGACATAGATAAACGAGTTCAATTTGGGAAACAATAGAGAAGAGGAGACGAGAATATTGGTTTGGAGCTTAAAAAAATCATAGACCAAATTGTCTAAAAGTGGATTAGATTTAGAAATATCACCTCATCTAATTTGTTTATTATAAAAAAAAATCATATAAGCAATATTTCAAAATGGTTAATAGAGAATGTAGCTAGTTGGTTTCAATCAATATGACATAGTGATGATGAAAATGATTAAATTAAAATCAGATTCATAAAAAAATGATTAAAATAAATTAGTCTGGTTGGTGATTCAAAAAATATTATACAACTTTTGAAAGAAATAATGATTTGATTTAGATCCGAGCGTCTAAATAAAAAACCAAACATATACCCAGAACCCCCTCTTTTAGGCGCAGCTTCGCCAAGATTTTAGGGGGATTTAGTGTCGATTTTGTCGTCGGTGAGACTATGGCGTGTTTTCAGGTGTGTTTTCATTTTTTGCTAGGTCAATTTTGGAGAATCAGATCTAGAGTTCTTAGATGAGGAGAATTGGGAATTTTTGCATGTATGATAAAATTAGGCGAGCGAATCAATGAATGATGATGAATTGCATGTTGTTAAACTGGTTGATTGGATTTTAACTATTGGTTGACCAGATTTTGCATGAATGATGTTTGAATTCGAAATGCCAACCAAGTGTATGCTTTGAATGTGTAACCTTGATACACTTTTATGCATGTTGATTGGTGGTCATTGAGGCATGATCTAGGCTTGAATTTTAAACCTTTATGATATATGGAACATCTAGCTTCATGTCTCGGTGTGTTTGTGGGCTGATTGAGCTTAAATATTGATCACTCGACCTTGTGAAAAGCCTATGAAGGCATGTTACTTATGTTAAAACCTAAGTGCGGGGGAGTTGATTCTCTCCCCATTGTGCTTGTCTAATGATTATTTCCACATATGATGCATGTTGTTTGGTGTTTTTGCGGGATAGTTGACCCTATGCATCCTTACATTCACCATTTGGTGAATCATCCAGATTATGGGTCATAATGTGAGTCCTGGCAAAACGGGAATATAGGACCACATTGGCAACTCGACATGTACATGTTTGAAATGTTCCATTATTGAGCTGCGATTTCAGCAACCATCACTCATCCCTAGTGGCTCATAATCCTCAGTTTTGATGAGCCTGTCTACCGGGAGCTGTGCCTGGAGTTATACTCCACTTTTGTGCACTAGTAGCCGAGAGGTCAGAGGAACTGACCATATGTAGAGTTCAGCCTTGATGGGGTTCACCATACCATCGAATAAGACATTTTGACCGGAGCTTTGGGACTTCACACTAGGATTATGACGGTGCTAGAGCGGACATACACCTGAGATTTTAATCCCCAGAGGGTGTTTGATGAGATCTGTCTGCCGGAGGATCAAGATCACCACTTTAGTACGGGATACACCAGTGCAGTTCAGGCCCCAATGGAGAATCCTCCACAGGCTTCTGACTCATTTAGTGGTCCCGAGTCTCCTAGGAGGGGGACAAGTCATCCTTTGTGGTATGGTGGTCCTACACACTATGGGTCGACCCCAAGAGTCTCTTCACTTGGGATCGGTCATGGCAACCTCATTCTCGAGGATTTTGGGCCGGCCACGAATCTACAACATGCACCTTGGCCCCATCATCACTAGATTTTCCCGATACTTCGGGGTGGACACCGCCAACTACACAGAGGTGGGGCAGATTGAGATCTATCCGGTGGAGACACTCCACCAAATGAGGCTGGTTTAGATTGAGCGAGGCATCGAGTATATTGATGGCCTATGACCTGTAGTGGAGGAGGCACCAAAGCCACCATGGAGAGCACCACCACCATTTTGCCGCTGTGGCCATCACGGGTCTCTATCATCAGCTGGAGCCGGCCTCTTTCTTGAGTGACCTAGAGGCTTGAGTCTCTACCCTCGAGGGCTAGTTCGCTGGTGTATCTTCCCAGATCGCTCGAGAGCTAGATGCCTGGCGACATTCCCACCTCTTGGTACAGGAGGTTGCTCATATCCAGGATGAGTGACAACCATCACCTCCTCTCCAGGGGTAGTCTTCACATGAGTGCCATAATGGCACCGTAGTAATTCCACCTTCTTTCTCCCGACTTCGACTCTAAACTCTTAGTTTGTTAATTGTGTGTGTGTTGAACTAGTACTACTATTGTCTTTGTTTTTCTTTTCGTGTGATGTTGAATAATGTTATTGTGTAATAACCTATCTTTGTGCGAGTATGTGTTTTTGTTTGTCTCCTTGTGAAGCTCTCTCTCCCTCGAAACTGGTCCATCTCTAGTCCGACTTTCACTCTCCAATTGATTCGGTAAATTTGTTCCACCCTTCGCTTTGCTCCATTGGGGACAATGTCATGCTTAAGTGGAGGGGATGTACATATATTTGTGATTGTCGTGTGAATAATTAGTGTGAATGGCCTATTTGAATGTGTTGGGGCCTTGTGATTGCCAAATTTCTACAATTTGAGGGCTCCAATCACTTGTGCATGAATGAATGATAAATGGTCGATATTGAGATGTGTTTTGGAACCTAGATTGTTGCATGAAATTGAAAATTTTAGGGGTTCCAAGCACAATTGTCCCTAGCATGATCTCGCTCATTGTGCTTTGAATTGTTTGATGATTATGATGGTGTGAATTATAGAGAATAGAGTGGTGCCATGAGAATTCTTGATAATGAGTGGCTTTACTTTGATTTCCTCTGGGTTGTTTGAAAGTGTTTGTTATGGAGGTTAGGACACGTGTGTGGAACTCCCCAAGTTAGGACTCTAAAATGTTTTGCAAAAGGTGCTCCAATTTGATTTTTTTTTTTTTTTTTTGAAAAAGTGAGGTTCTCACGTGAGAGGAAACCGGGCATAGTGTTTGAGTTGAGCCGTTAAAGGGCTATTCTCTTAGTTCGGAGTGTCGTTTGAGGATGTATTTGGGGTTCAGATAAATTTCTAGCATTATGATCATTTTAACTACCTTATATTCCCCAAACACCTTTCCTCTTCACGAACTCGTATTGAGAGGAGATAGTGTGCCTTTAAGCAAGTCATGAGACCTGGTCTCTCGTTTTCACCCGACATACATGGCAACCCGTCTATCGTTGAGACGTGGAGTGCAGGTTGGGAACTGGTGCTTCGGTAATGAATCTGACCATCATGTTCCCCACATGGGGCCGAGATAGGGAGGGAAATGATCCTTTCGCTCTTGGTCACTAGGGAGAGATGCCTTGATTTGCATGACATGACAAGTTTAAGTTGAGGCTCAAAAAATTGAGTCATATTTTGAAAAGTAGGAGCACCACAGAGGCCTTCGATTTTCACATGTTTTCTATGAGTCCCCAGTGCACACGTGAAGTATCTAGACCTCCTTAGTTGATTTTGAGCCATCTTTTGAAAAGTAGGAGCACCACCACGGAGGCCTTCGATTTTCACATGTTTTCTTTGAGTCCACATTGCACAAGTGAAGTGTCTAGACCTCCTTAGTTGAAAAGGTCCTCAACCGAGAATGTGCATGCCACAGAGAGATGAAAGTAAAGTTTACTCGACTTTCATTATTTTTTAGGCATCAACGATAATTGATAGTGCATACCATTACTTTTGTCCTACAAGTTGTACTGGTTTGAACAGGTTTGCTTGGGTACAAGCAAACTTTCAAGTGTGTGTGTGTGGGGGGGGGGGGGGGGGGGGGGGGGGGGGCTTGATTCGGGAAAGATTATACACTTTTAAACCCCTTGACTTGAATCATTTGTCTTAGTTTGCACTGTCCTTGGAGCTATTTTACGCTAGTTTGTTTGGGTTTTGTCATGTTTCAGACCTAAGCAAGTAATTTTGGCACCGGGATCGGAAGTCGGACAAAAGAGGGCGAAAAGGGAGCAAAACGGTCAAAAGTGTAAGGATCATGGTTGCAGAGCAATTATCACAGGCGGCAGACCATGAAGTGGACAAGCAAACCGTAAAGTCTGCACACTTCTAGGAGCCTTCGGATGGGTTTGTGGTTTATATAATGATTGAGGTATTATTCATGGAAATTGAGTTTTCTTCATCAAATCCCTCAATTTAGGGACAAGTTGACCTAGAAGAAGGAAATCCTCTTATAGCGCATTCTTGGCAATTCGGGTAACCTTCTTTAGGCCAATTCGAGTCATCCCTAGATCATCGAAGAAGTGCCATGATTCGTTATGATTGGTTACTTTTTGCCGTTTTAGATTAACTTCCGAGGGAGTGGTTATGCAAAGCCTTAGTCATTCGATTAAGCGGGCTAGGAAGCACTTGAATTGGTTTCCTAGCTATTTTGACCTCCCAATTGTATATGAATCTACCTACCACTCTAGGGTTTCATTTTTTCATCTTAACACGGGACTAGGGGGAGCAAAGTCCGAGTGATCCTTTCTTATTTGAATTCACCAAAGTTTAATTGCTTGCTTGTATAATTTGTCTAGTTTCCTCAAATTTAACTAAAATTTGATCGCTAGATAACGTGTTAACGACCAAAGTAAGGATAGATTGCACACTCGGGTTGATATTGAAATATTTATCATATCCTACACTCGATTATAGCAACACTTGGCAGTTGGGATAGTGTTGTAGTGGTAGTGAGTCACTAACTGTTTGGGATGTGTGTACATATAGTTTTCTCTTCTCTTTAGCAATGTCATGACAAAGAATGGTTTCGTATCGGTGTATTTGAGTTTTGTTAACTACTTGATAATGCCCTAATATATGTACATATAACTTTCTCTCGTCTTCTCTTCTCTTTTAAATGTACTAGTTGTAACTTTCACATCTTATGCAAGGAGAGAGAAAGGGAGGTTGTTGATCCACCATTTTTAGATGAATGTGTAGACATAGATAAACGAGATTAATTTGGGAAACAATAGAGAAGAGAAAGACGAGAATATGACATACAAAATGGTAATGATGAAGATGATTAAAATAAATCAATCTGGTTGGCCATTCAAAAAAAGCCATAGAAGTTTTGAAACAAATAACGAGCAAGAATGGGGCTTAGTTGATTATGAGAGTGGTGAATAGGATGAAAGAGAATCAGAGAAGAGTGATATGTACTCTTCAAATAAAGAAAAAAATGCAGTGGAGAAATGGTAGGAATGTGAGCGAGTTAGGGAGAATCTTAACATATATTTATGGTTGTTTTGTGGATTCAAGCTACCACATAAACTTTGTTTATTCTCCTATTTGTTCACGTTATATTGCTTTTTTTTATGTTTTCATGGGCTTGGTTTTCTTTGAAGTTTTTTGTAGGGCCATGTGGATATATAGTCCTAATGTGGGCCAAGTTGAAAAGTTCTCATTATTTATCACTGGGTTCTCTATTTTGGCTCTTAAATTAGGTGCATAAAAAAGGTTTCCCTTTTGTCCCTCATTCATTATTTTGCTAGCCACTATTAAAGCCCTTTGTTTTCCACTTTCATGTTTTCTCAATACTGAGATTAATTACATTTGCAAGTAATGATATTTTGGTCAATCAAACAAAATATAATGAAGGAAGGAGAAAAACAAACGTTTGACTTTGAAGTTGGAATTTGACCCAATCATTTAGATACGCAAGGAAAAAATTAATAAAAGATCATGTACAATTTCTGAAGTTGAAACTCATAGCTAATTGAAGATAAGTAGGGTGACAATTGAAACGAACAAGGATTTGGTCTAGTCATAACACCATTAGCCTTGAACTTGGAGGTTCCATGTTCGAATCCTTTATATAATACATAGTCACAATAAGTAAACTAATATCATCCCTATCTAAAGAAAAGTAGGGTGACAATTAAAATTTGTACCACGGATATCAACAACCCTCACCTAGTTAATACGGGTAATTTCCACTTTGATTATGAGACATGTAAATGTAAACTCCACAAAGAGAAGAGTGGGGAACTGGGGATTGACGAGGCTAGTTTTGGGCTCCACCAATTCGTACCAGCCTCACCAATAGTGTATATTTAGAGCATTTAGTGATCATTATTTAAATTATTTATGGAAAACGGCTACTGTAGAAAAAAATAATAGACTAAACGATCAAATTAACATGACTACATTCATTTCCAACACTAACCTAATCCTCCCAATTACTTCTTCTTTGTATCCACCAGATAAGAAATTTGGTTGCAGATGCATAAACAACATGCCTCAATGTAGTATATGACATTATTATATCTGAATTCTTATTTGTAGCCCTAGGTTTTTGAATTTATAGCCCTAAACTTACATACATGGACGATTTTACCCCTCATTTAACCTAAACCCTAAATGCACCCACCCAATCCTTCCCTGCCTTTCCCTTACCCTGTTCTCCCCCAAATCAACAAAACACAATCTCAACCACCAAGACCCGCCGTCAACCAGAGCCGCCGCCCAGAGCTCCGCCGCCGCCCTAAACTATCGCCGTCAACCAAACTCACCTCCGCATGCGACTGTCGCCGAGGAGAAGCCTCCAACCCGCTGTCGCCACCAAGACCCGCTGCCGCAACCCTTCTCTTTTCAACCCGCTGCCGCAACGCTGCTCAGACCCGCCGGAGGTAAATCTCTCTCTCCCTCCCTTCTCTTTTGGTTGAGTTGCGCCGACTATACGGGTTGAAAACCGTCGCCAGTGGCTAGAGGCAGGTAGGGCGATCGATTTGGCCGGGGGTAGACGCAGGCAGGGCGCCTGCGCGGATCCGGCGGAGCCAGGTAGCCCACCTGCCCCGATCCTGGTCCGATCCGGTCTCCGACCCGCCCTGACCCTGGTCCGACCCGTTTTCCGACCCGCCCTGATCCTGGTCCGACCCGTTTTCCGACCCGCCCGACCCGTTTTGATTTTTTTTCAATTAAAATGCAAATGTTAATGATTAGAATGTTCATTTTAATTAATAATATATAAATTTTAATGGTAAATTATAATCAATATATGACATTTAATAATGGGAAGGAAGAAAAGAATCTGTTTGTTGCGTTGTTGTGTGATGAGAGGATGTTAATTAACATTTGACAATATAAGTAGTGTTTGAATTGAAAAAGTTGTTGATTGTTAATAATGATTATAAATAGTTAATAAATATAGGATTGTTAATTGCAATACTAAGAAGAATTAATTTTATTTTCTTGATAGTTGGTAAAATAAGCGAAAGAAAGGGTAAGAATTAGTATGAGGGTTTGTGATGATTAATATAATTAGTATTTGACAATATAATTTGTATTGGAATTCATAAATTTTATGGTTATAAATAATTATTATGTATAGTTAAAAGACGTATGGTTGTCAATTACAATTCTGAAAATAAATAATTTTATTTTCTTGATAGCAGGCAACAATGAGCGAAAGAAGGGGCAAGGAAAAATCGAGGGTTCTCGGACGCAACGTTACAGTATCTGAGCGGAAAAAACGTCAGGAGGAGTCAGATAGACTTCGTGAGGAGGAGCGTCAGGAGAAGCTTTCGCGTCGTCAAGCTGCAGTGGATCCTCCCCCTCATAGCCATGTTTCCCAGCCGATACCAGGCATCACATTTGGATGTTGGATATTTTATGTTTTGATGTTGGATATTTCTTAAGATTGATGTTGAATATTTCTTAAGGTACATTTGGATGTGTTATGTTTGAGTGTTTATTTACTAATTAAAATTTTTAACCACTACTTATATATCTAACAAAAACACAACAAACAACAATTTTTAATGATCACACAAAATTACTTGCACCATCGGGCGGGTAGGGAATATGGCTCAACCAGCGGTTAGAAGGGTAGAAAATATGGCTCGACCTCCGGGAGGGCGGGTAGGATATATGCCCTCACCTCCAGGAAGGCGGGTTCACAACATGCTTTGTCCACGGCCTGTGCTGGAAGGGTATATTCCTGCACCATCCGTCAGGTGGGTGTGCAACATGCTCAACCCACGGTGAAGATGGGTAGGTAAAATGTTTGGTCCGTGGTGCAGGCAAGTTTTCAACCCGCCTAATCTATTTTTTCAGCAACAATAATTGTGAACACAATTGATTAATTTCAACTAAATCCACATAAATTTGAACACAAAATCATTGATTAATTCCACCTAAAACCACATACATTTTAACACAAAATGTCAATCCTTGATAATTGCACCTAAATCCACACATGGCATACAATTCCTGCTCCTGTTGGTATAACTCATCTCAATGCGGAATTGTGCTCATATTCCAAAAATGAGTCCATTGTGGACTAAAATATGGCATTGGTGTCACCCCATCGACATTGTCGAGAACTAGTCGGACCCAATGAGCCCCAGTAAATCAATGCGAACCCAATGTTGAAGTTCTTCTTCACCGGACTAACACCAATCAACTGAACCAGTGGCTGCTTATACTTGTTAGTCTTGTACGTCGAGTCTATCAAAACAACAAAATACCATGCCAACAACATCCGAATCGACTCAGGATGGCGTAGGAAGAGTCTAGTAACACGACGTTGATCATCAAATTCACACTCAATAAAGTAGCCAAGACGTTGAGCTTCTATCAATGTCCACCGCATAGGTTTCAACCCACCCAATCTCTCACGCCTAACTTTTGCTGTCTCATTATAA